CCCCTAACCTGGGTCTAGTGCCACCCAGCTCCCCTGCCTGGGCCCAGTTCCACCACTTGCCTCAGCTCCAAATAGGCATGGAGCTGCCTACAGTGGGACCAGGATCACACACTGGACCAGTTGACCCTGGACATTGCCTGTCAGAGAGGGAGCTGCCCACAATGGGGGTGCACTGGCCACTGTCACCCCTGGGCAAGCCCCCCATGCACTGCACTCACTGCAGCCTCTGCACCCGCAGGGTAGTGGCAAGAGGCTGGGGTGCTGGCCACCTGTCCCCTAGTCACCCTCACTTCATGGGCCCCACCCCAGGATGGCACACAATACATAACTTTTATGGAGAAGAAGGTTTTTTATTGATGGTGAGTAGGTTGGGTGGTGGTACTTCCCTGTATGTGTAGATGCGTGTCTGGAACCATTTACTCACAAGTAAACTGGTGCCCCATCAAATGCACGTGTAGATGCACCCTGTTAGAAGCCATATTTGCTAAACTAGCTAGCCAGAAGTTCTGAAGTATATTTTTTTAGAGAAGCAAAAAGACTTATGGAAACCAAAATTAAATCTCCTCTGTGAGTCATAAATGTAATATTTTGTCCATTCCTGAAATTCTTATTCACATAGTAAATAAATACGTCTCTTAGTATTAGTGACTCCAGCTTCTCTCAGAGGCAGAGGAGGTATTGCTTTCAATGTTGATGCTACATGGAGAGGAAAGGTATATGGCCACTTACTATAAAACAAAAGACATAAACAGTCTGAAGCCAAGAATGTAGGAGAAGGCAATTTTTTAAAAAATGTGATGTCGTTCAATATTGAATTCAGTTGGAATTTTGCTAAATTAAGACTTTTAGTATAACTTTTAGCCTTTAGTATAATGCACTTGTATGGTTGCCTTTCATAAGACAGTGTCCCTTTTCTATCCCTAGTTGATGAATACAGTGTATGTAGTGGAGAAAAGTCAGAGAATATGAAGCAAATTTGCAGTCATCTTAGAACTTGGTATGCAAACTATAGATTTGTATTGGCTTCTCAGTTATACAGAAAGTCACTTAATTAACCTTCCAAATAGAACATAGCCCCTTCTGTCATGACAGCAGTTAGAGTTAATGAAGATTAGGAAGATAATTGGTTATTTTAGAAAGCCAGCAAGAAAGCATAGAAGAGCCTCATGAGTTACAAGTGCTGGTAAAGAGAGACTAAAAAGAGAATAGCACTTTGTACTGTTGACCTTCAAAAGTTCATACTCTTCTCCCAAAATGTAATAGTAGATGAAAAAAGAATTAACAAGGCACCACCAGACAGGGTGTGCTTTGGAGAATTAGAACCAAGTCATGATTTTAGCCAGGGAAATGGGATTTGCTAAAGAGTGTAGTTTCCCTGTTGACTACAAATGAGCTAGGTGCAAAGGCACCTTGGAGGAGAACCAAGAATCCACTCTAAAAGCCTCAATAAAACCTACAGCTCAGCTTACAGTGGTAGATTCCTTTAAATATCACTTCAAAAAAGCATTAATAAACCACTTCAGTTTCAAACAATATTTTACAGTAAAAGGAATGTTAACTCTATTTCTGTTAGTTGATTTATTGCCCATGACTTAGATGAGATGGCCATTCTTTTGCAGCCATCTAGAAATAATGTCAATCTAAAGTGGAGAATAAATGTGATAGGCACTAGTTAGTGCCAGATGTATGTGTTGATCTTAAAGTAAAAGTTTAAATATTGAAACACTTTTGAATCTTAGCCAATAATTATACTATGATGACGGTTAGGATACACAGTCAGTGAGACACTCCCCGAGCTGGATAGATAGGCAACTTCCCATCTGTACTTTCACTCTTTAGGTATTATAATATGTGTAGTTTGATTGACTTTCAGCCTTACTTCTGTTGAACTTATCAGTTGCAAATGTAAGACTAGTATGTGCCTTTAAGACATGACCCACAGGTCATATGGGGAAAATGTGGCAGAGCTGTGAATTTAACTGAGACCTCCATTCTAGTGTTTACCCAAAAGAATATCATTCCTCTCAGGATCTCCCTTCACCTTAACTCAGTTATGAAGTTCTGGAATAGCAAATTTCTCCTTCTGCTTCATTTAAATAAGATACAAGATAACACTGTGTGAGACAATTAAGATGATTCATATTAATAGCATATTCATAGAAATCTAGATATTTTATTGTAGAGTCCCCTGGCATACATTACTCTTCAGGCATGATTAACCACTAATCACATCTTAAGCTATTATGTACCCCTACCTTAATGCAATTAATGGTTTGATAAAACAAGGAATAAGCCGGAAAGTTATTACATAGAAAACATGGTACCTATCACACCATTAACAGTCATGGCTGGGAGCCACATTAGCTGATGGATCTCCCAGTCACTGGGGTGCACCATGCAGTTTTATAGCTGGAAGCCCCATCATCTAATCTGGGCTTCCAGGTATGGGGCGCTGCATGGTACACCCCTGCTACTGGGCGACCCATCACCTGACAGGGCTCCCAGTCATAAGCACTTTCTAACTGCTGGTGCAGGGGAGCCCAGGATCATGATTCCATTGGAAATAAGACACTATGGGATCTGATGCTCAATCCCACAATCATGCTTGATGCCATGCACATATGGCATGGCAGGAAGTATGATTGTGGGGATTGTGCACCAGATCCCATGGTGCCTTTATTTGCATATCTGCCAAGGGCCTAAGAAACATAGGGTCCAGTTTGCTGTTGACTTAGTTTGACAAATTTCCAATGGATGGAGCTACACCAGTGTAAAACTGGAAAAACATGGCAATGAACAGCACTCCCATGTATAAGATAAGGAGCCATTTGAAGACTGGCTTACTGCTACATCAACACAGGATTTTTCTTCCCTGAATATGTATTTCTTACCTGAACAGTTTCAATCCAAGAAAAAAAAATTGCTTTTGTCCACTCCAGACCTGGAATAATATAGTGTTAAAATAAATACATTTATCCAGGCCTAACCAAGCACAAGGCAGATTATGAAATTTCTAGACATCTGGAGAGATTTCTAGCTTCTGAGCTACTCTTACACTGACTGGCCTGAAGGGACTCCAGTAACTGGCTTCAAATGTTTCACTAGTTTTCCACCACAAAGGTATTTCAATAGTGTACTGAAAGTGCTGATGTAATCTGAAGATGGCCTGTTAGAAAGGGGAATACCAGACCATTATACAGTAACAGTTCAAATCACAAGAGTGGTTTGACCTGTCCAGCCCTATAGCCTGGCATTCAAGGCTGGTCTGAGGGTATGATTCATCATGGGCACTACATGATGCCACTGTGAAATACCCCACTAGAGCTTAGTTTTATCCTGTGTTGCAGTTTGAATTAAGAATGAGGAACTAGAATGAAACTATTTACAAGGTGGTATCCAGGCATCAATAATACTTAGGTTTAAGATGTTTATACATTAAGGCTCTAACACCTTGGTCGGGGAATACAAAGATACGGTAACTTGTTGAAGGCTGTACAATTAACTTGGAATTAAGCCTATTATTTTCTTACCTTGTCAGACCTTTGCATTGTGTCATGTGCCATTGTCATTTTGGGGTCCCAAAGTGGGAGCTGAGCTCCAGGCCTGTTGGCATATCAGGTGCTGGGCTCAGTTTCTGGTAAACTGGAATGCCAAAAGTGTAACATTTCAGCCTCCTGCTGGTCAGCTGATGGAGACAACTTGCTAATGATATGTTTTAACAGGTTAGATGAGGGGTGACAGGTCAGTCCGCAGGCCAAGTCCCATCCATGAGCTGCTTGGCCAGGGTCCAATGTAGCCATGCAAGTCTAGCCCTGCCAGGGCCCAATTCAGACTTGAAAATTTGGCAGAATGATAATGGTGGAGGTGTTAATTGCCACCACTCCCCCATTGCCAAATATAACGCCCCCTGGGGAAACCCATGGGCCAGATGACAAAGCTCTGTGGGCTGGAGGTTAAGCATCCCGTTCTAATTTATTTTCTCATTTTAATATTTGTCTGGGATTTTTTTATATTGCCATGTGTAATTTAGTTTGGTTGAGCCAATTTGCCATCACAGGCCACGTCCAGACATGCATGCACATTTGGTTCTCTTGTGCTGCAGCTACTTGTCCCTGGGGAATGCCCATGCCATGTGCGCATTGGTGCACAGCAAGTTACCCTGAGGGTGGTAGGGGAGGCTGGGGCCAGCAGCTGGCCTCAGCAGCCTTACCTGAAGTTCTGGAGGCTTCCTGGGGCTGCAGCAGTGGCAATCCTTCCAGGTGGATCCTGGCTGGCAGCCGCAGCATGGGTTCCCAGTGGCCCAGCTCTGCTTTTCAGCAGTGTGTCCTTCCCACATGTGCACTGCTCTGCTTTTTTTCCCCTTGCTAAAAAAAAACAAACGCTTTTTCCTCTAGGTGTAAAAAAAAAAATGGGGAAAAAATGCAGAGCAGCATATGCATGGGCAGCATGCCTTTGCAGCATGGAGAACACCTGCCTGTGCAGTATGTGGTGCAGACATATTTGTCGCACCACATACCTCATGGCCGTGTTCGTCTGGACATGCCCACAGAGTGCAACCATTTTTTTTTTTTAATTGTTTGTGCCAGATACCAGACTGAAACCCCTGGACACTCATGCCCTCTGCTTGTATATCTACTGACAGGGTTGTGTGTGTGGAGGGACTACTTCTAAAGGTGAATGGGTAACTTGTGATCTGTGCTAAATCTTTCCTTTTACTTCAGACAGGTTTTGAATCAGGCCCTTATCACTAGCCCCAATGCCGGCCAAGGCTGCTGATGGAAATTCCGATTAGTGACTGTTCTGGCTGTATTTTTTGTTTTGTGAATACTTGTTTACTAGGAACTGGACTGACTCCACCATCCCAACTGAATTATGTTATTTCCTTTATACCTAAAGTTTAAGGGATGGATTTTAACCACAGATGGAAGGATCAAACTAATTGTACATCTCTGTAGTTTACTGTTGATGAATTTGCATTTTCTGGGTTTTGTCCTCAATAGGTTTACACTGTTGAAGAACATGGTATGGATATTCTCATGTGGTCTTCAAGCAGGAAAAAAGAAAGGACATGGATGTATGCAAATGTGGTCCTCTCCAGTAACAGTCCTTTCAAAGTTGCATTTGAAGCTGAAGTGGGGGCAAATGAGCTCACAGAATTTGCTCTTGATGATATTTCTTTCACTCCTGAATGTATGGCTGGAGGTATGTGATAGTACAAATATGGTAAAATTACTTATGGCTTTGGAGGGGGCGGGGATATGTTCCATCTTACAGTGGAGTGTTTATGTTCTGTTCATAGCATTTTTCAAAAAACTTGAAGTTACCAGTAGAAGTATTTGAAGGAAACTCCATTAAAAATCCAGAATTTTAAACTACTTCACTGCAACATGATAGCTAACAAGTATGGTAATATCCTATAAGAAAAATTTAAATATCTTGGACAATTCTGCATGGAAATAGTAAATATTAGGGGTTGCTTGTTTGTTTTGTTTTTTGTTTTGCTTTTGGGTTTTTTAAACACATACAGTGCTACAGGTGTTTCTTCCTTCCAGTGCCTTTTCCAGACTGCAAGGATCACAATGGGGAAGAGACAGGGAGCAGGTACAAAAAAGAGGAAATCCTTCTACTGCTGCCACTGTCCCCTCCTGAGCATGGCACCACCTGCAGCCACAGCTTGTGTCTGGAGCAGGGCAGGAGTGACTCAGAGTCTCCCCTTGTACCCAAATCAGCTGGGGACAGCAGCAACAAAACAGTGCAGGGCGGGCTGCAACCACATTACTGCATCCCCCTTGGATCCACCCCTGAAGGCTACTAGTCATATCATAGGTATCAGTTTGTATTGGGGGAATAAAGGAGATAAAGAGTAAATTTATTATCTCTGATCTGCAGGGCAGATTTTGATTTAGGTTTTCACTAAATGTGTGAATTTCCCATTGGGCATCAAACGAGTTCTACCCTTGTAAGTGGATAAAAATATCTGAATAAAGATATTAACACCTTGAGTTGGTAAGGTTATTTTTTCCCTAAAAACACCATTTGAACAAATCAGTAATTACAGTAACCTTCAATACAATTACTATAATTGAAGGCCTGTTAGTTTTACTGTGAACTCTATATGAAAGGGTTTTGTTATGACCCCAGCTATAACAATTTTCTCTAGGACGAAAACAGTGAGACAAGACTTCAGTTTGGGATGGAAGGGTTTTACAAGCACAAAAGTTACTCACAATTATTTAAAAAAGAAAATGGTTTGTTCTTTTATCTTTGCTCTCTTCATAAAAAATCTTAGCAGCATAACAAATTTACTTTGTTGCCAGGCACTTTGAGATTTTATGATCTCTTATGCGTACTACAAAAAACATTGTGACTTGAACTGTGCAAAGAAATTACTTGAATCCTAGAGCTCTACAACACTGCTTGCTATGCATGTGGACTATTACATAGTACAGGGGTTTTCAACCTTTTTTAAGGAGTGTACCCCTCCTGGGCTGTACCCCCTGGACGAGCTGGGGGGGGGTGGTTCTCCAGCAGCCAGTTCACAAGCAGGGGGAGGGTGGTACTTGGGTGGCAGCAGGTGGTGGCAAGTGGTGACGCACAGCAGCAGCAGGAGAAGTGAAGGTACTTGGGAACCACACCACCACCACCTACCACTGCTACACAATGGCACACAGTGATGCACTTCCCATGTACCCCCGCTTCTCCACGCCACTGCCACGTACCCCCCGGAGGCTTCCCAAGTACCCCCGGTTGACAACCCCTGACAGCGTAATCTCACAATTAAAAACAGCTAATTAAAAATGTTTGCATAGGAATCAATCATTCTTAAAAAGTGATGTAAATTTAATGATTTCATAGTTTCATAGTTGGTAGGGTCGGAAGGGACCTGAGCAGATCATCCTGTCTGACCTTCTGCCGTGGCAGGAAAGAATGCTGGGGTCAAATGCCCCCGGCAAGGTGTCTATCTAGCCTCCTTTTGAAGACCCCCAGGGTAGGAGCGAGCACCACTTCCCTTGGAAGTTGGTTCCAGATCCTAGCCGCCCTGACTATGAAGTAGTGCCTCCTGATGTCTAGCTTGAATCTACTCTCAGTCAACTTATGGCCATTGTTCCTTGTTACTCCCGGTAGTGCTCAGGGAAACAGGGACTCTCCCATTGCCTGCTGGTTTCCCTTGACCAGTTTCTAGATGGCCACCAGATCCCCTCTCAGCCTTTTCTTGTGGAGGCTGAACAGGTTCAGGGCCCTTAGCCTCTCCTCATAGGGCCTGCCCTGCTGCTCCCTGATCATGCGAGTGGCCCGCCTCTGGACCCTCTCCATGTTGTCCACATCCCTCCTGAAGTGCGGTGCCCAGAACTGGATGCAGTACTCCAACTGCGGCCTGATCAGTGTGGCATAGAAGGGGAGGATCACCTCCTTTGACCTGCGCATGATACATCTGTGGATGCGTGACAAGGTGTGGTTAGCCTTCCTGACTGCGAGAATGACTCCAATAATGTCAATAATGATTCCAAGATCCTTTTCTGCTGCTGTGCTGATGAGAATGGAGTTCCCCAGCCTGTAGGTATGCTGCTGGTTCTTCCTCCCCCGCCCCCCCCCGATGCAGTACCTTGCACTTGTCAGTGTTGAAACCCATCCTGTTCTTATCTGCCCACCCCTGTAACCTGTCCAGATCAAATTGCAGCTTGTCCCTCCCTTCTAGCGTGCTCACTTCTCCCCACATCTTAGTTTCATCTATGAATTTGAACAAGGTGTTTTTCACCTCCTAGTCCAAGTCACTGATGAAGATGTTGAACAGTGCGGGCCCAAGGACCGAGCACTGGGGGACCCCACTGCCCACATCCCTTCAGGTCGAAAATGACCCATCCACCACCACTCTCTGGGTTCGGCCCTCCAGCCAATTGGCGACCCGTCTGACTGTGTAGGCATCGACACCACAATCTCCTAATTTTTTAACAAGAATGGGGTGAGAGACAGTGTCGAAGGCCTTCCTAAAGTCCAGAAAGACTACATCCACCGTGACACCTGCGTCCAAGGATTTTGTGACCTGGTCGTAGAAGGCAACCAGGTTGGTCTGACAGGACCTGACTCTAATGAACCCATGTTGATTGCCCCTAAGCATACACTCCCCTGCTTGCCCCTCGCAGATGTGCACCTGGATAATTTTCTCAAAGAGCTTCCCCAGGACCGAGATAAGACTAACAGGGTTATAATTTCCTGGGTCCTCCTTCCTCCCTTTTTTGAAAATGGGGACCACACTGGCCCTTTTCCAGTCCTCTGGCACCTCACCAGAACACTACGAGTACTCGTAAAGCTGTGTCGGGGGTCCCACAATGACCTCTGCTAATTCCCTTAGCACTCTGGGGTGGAGATTGTCAGGACCTGCTGATTTGAACACATCCAGTCCCACCAGAAGTTCCCTGACTAGGTCCTCTCTGACCCTGGGCCTGGCTGTGCCTCCCCTGGGACCATCAGAGATCCCGGTGTGGGGGATGACCTGGTCCGTGCTCAGAAAAATGGAGGCAAATAAATTGTTAAATAGGTTAGCTTTGTCATCTGGTGAGACCACCAGATTTCCAAGTATGTCCTGCAGAGACCCCACATTACCCAGAACATTCTTTTTACTCCCTATGTATTTAAAAAAGGATTTCTTGTTATCCTTGATTCAGGTTGCTAGCCCCAGTTCCATCTCTGCCTTGGCCTTCCTACAATCTTGAGCAACAGAAGTATAATCCTCCCTGGTGATGTCCCCTCCTTTCCATTGGGTGTACACCTCCTTCTTAGCTTTGAGACATTCCTGGATGCTTTTGGTGAGCCATGGGGGCTTTTGAGCACTCTTGCCCATGTTGGGATTGCCACCCTTTGGGCTTGGAGGATCGTCTCCTTCAGGAACGACCACTCTTTGGGACCTCAGTTCCTCCCTGACTAGTCTCCTTAGCTCAATGAAATCCGCCCTCCTGAAGTCCAGGGCTGCTGTCTTGCTGCAGGCCTTTGCCACCCTGCGCTGGATGGTGAATTCCAATAGGTGAGGATTGCTATCTCCCAGGTGATCGATTTGCACGAGTACTGGTTGGTAAGTGAATAATAGGTATTGGTATGGCCAAATAAAAAACAGGCATTGTGCAAAAGTCCTTGAATAATTTTTGCCACTATTCACACAGCTCTTACCATGATCTAGAACTGTTCAGACACCATACAGGTAATGCAGCCCATGTGTGAATTACTTGTATCACACCATGTTTAAAACTGCTTCTATTGTCAATGATGATAAAGCTAGTCTCTTGGGAAGTCAGCCACATGCTGGTTTGTACTTGAAGCTTTGATGGTACTATATGTTCTCACATATGTGACATTTGCTAGATCTAAAAATACAAGTGCAGCATCTTTTTGAAAAATACTGCCAATGGATCAGGCAGGGTTATTTTTTTTAATGAAATCTGATGAGCTGTGACATGCACATAGACAAATGCTTGTCCTAGGTTTATTGTGTCAGTAATCTTTGCTTGTTCTGTCTTAAGAATCATTTGTGAACTTTTGTTGAGGGCTTTTACAGTACCGTGGGGAGGAACAAAGGAGTTTATAAATTATGTATTTTTAGTCCCCATGAATAATTGGAACACTCATATCTAAGCCCTACAAAGGGCTGCATTCTGCCTTCTTGTTCATGTTTAATCAGCACAAATATTTCTATGTGCACATTTACACTTTGATTTCTACAAATACTTATTCACAGTTTTGACTTGTTTTGTCCGCATCCACATATTTATATAAAAGATTACACAGCTGTTTGCTCAAAGAAAACAGAAATGAGAAAGAGAGAGAGAGAAAGATACATGTATAGCTGAAGCAAACAGATTTGAAAATATAAAAATATTCAAAGTCATGTTTCCCTTGTTCCACCCAACTAGAATCTCAGCTTTTTTTTTGGTATTTTTTTCTCTGTCACTACCACCATCACATACTAATCTTGTTTTAAACCAGAATATGTATCACAATATGGTTAAAAATACCTGATTTAGTTCAGTTGGATTTGGCTATTGTGCCAAGATGGGAAACTCATTACATTGTGGGGGATGATTAGTTGTCCTTGCTAGTTTGACCAGGGCGATTTGCCCAACTCCTATAAGATGTGCCAGGAACAGGAAGAAAGCACAAAGAGAAACTTCTAATTACATAAGGTTCCATTATTTCTATCTTTTTGTACTGTG